TTAGTGTTTGTGATCTTTTCTGGTGTGCTTTTTAAGTGAGATGAGTTTTCTCCTATTTGGAAGAGGGAGAGATAGGCCAGGGCAGATTTTTCATGCTTCAGCTCTATGCATTTTATTTTTGCAAAATGATTTAAGAAAAAAGAAAAGTACATTTATTTGAGTTTTTCTTGGCCTTTTTATTCTTGATTTGGTGAATTTGGACCTTATATCCAGCAGTTTCTCCTCAGTTTCAGAAAGGAATTTTGGTGTTCAAGGGCCCAGAGCTTCTGCTGTATACTGTATCATGATCTCCTGCATTTGCCTACAAATTGTGTAACTCTCTTTTAGCTGTCTTCTCAAATTGTCCTGCTATTTCTAGTGGATTGGTGGTTTTGAGGTTCCCTTGCTCCCAGGGCTGTAAGAAACCCAGTTGCCTTCCTTTTGCATCCTCACCCACTGACATGGATACCAACCAGGTATTCTAGCTGTCAGTGGTGTGTTCTATTCATTTACATGGAAGGATTTGTGGGGGGATATCTTGTCATCTAGTTTTGAAGGTGTTATCTATAGGTCTTCCATTTTCCCATCCAGTTAGCTCTGGTTTTACGGGAGAGAGTAGGAAGATTGAAAAGAAAAGCAAAAACAAAATAACTGTCACTGCTACCATCATCTTTCCCAAACCTCTTAATCTGTATTTCTTCTGATTTTCATATCTATTAGTATCCTTATCTGAATCCATTATTTCCCTGGGGCTTGCAAAATGGTGATATGGAAAAAAAAGATTTCTTCTGTTAATTCTACATATATACCTGGTGTTCTTTTCCTCATTGGTGGTTGTTACTTGATTACTGTGTAAAACAGTTTTACTGAAAAGGCACAATAAAATGTAATTAAATATTTTAGAGTAAGGAGTTACTGTAATAATTTGAGTAGTAACAGTTGAATTTGGATTTTAGTTGGTTTTGTTTTTTGTTTTGTTTTTTGTCTCTTTCTGGATATTGTTTTGAACTCATAGATTTTTATATATTGAGCGTGTTTCAGTCATTATTCTTAGTGATGTTCATACTGCTTAGTCTTGGTATGCTTCTAACATCACTTCATTTTACATTTTGAAATTTTTAGCTCACCTGGAGCATTTTTAACTCTAGACCTGAAATAAGCCATTTTTAGAAGAAATTCTTGGGGAATGGCGTCTTTAAAAAAAGTCCGTTTAGGGCACAAGGTGTGACCTTTGTTATTAAATGTTAGTGCATGCAGACTTTTCTAGGGGACGGATGAGGAATTTTCATTGTATCCTGGAAATTGCCCCATGTCAAGGTAGAGATATCGTCCATGTTCTTTTGTATGGCTGACTACTGTTACTGTGTGAAAGCAATATAGATTATTAATATTCCTGGACATAGTGTTTATTTCCAGCATTTTGCTATGAGAAGTAATGTCACAGTGAATCATCTCATACCTGGATTATTCCATACATATGCGTTCCAGATATATACATTTTTTTCTTGTTCTTTTGTGTTCTCTATGTCCCTACTAGAAATTTTGGTCATTCCTTTGGTCACCATATAAGTTAACCTTCTGTTTCCGAATTTATTTTGCATATTTCTTGAGTATATTCGAGTATTGTCATTTCTGTTTCAGATTTGTTCATTTCTGAGTTTTGTATTTCTGATTAATGGTGTTCTTTTTGATCTGCTGTTGCATTTTCTCTTCATTTTAGAATATGGGATTTTCCATTTTTCATGACTGAATTTTTCAAGTATACTTTTTTCTGCTAGACAATTTAGCTTATTTATTTGCTGAACTTGTTTCATAATTACTTGAATTTTGGAATTCTGTTTCTCCCATTTATGTTTCTATTGGTTGAGGTTTTCCTGGACCTGCTATTAGTAGATCTCATGGTACAGTGGGGAGAAGTTTGGGTGGCATTAGTGGTCTCTTGATTGAATGGGTCCCTCTTTTGTTATTATGGTAACAGCAGTTTCTTTAATATATGGCTACGTGGCCTAGCACCTTCTGATTCTTCAACTCCATCTTGTTTAAGGCCTGAATCTTTCATTAGCTGCTTCCATTCCATTATAGCCAGAAGCTACTCTGCCTCCCAGGGTACTCCCCATCACTTGCAGGCATCATGCCTGTCTGTCATTTTTTTTTTTTAATTAACATATAATGTATTATTTGCTTCAGGGGTACAGGTCTGTGAATCATCAGTCTTAACACAATTCATAGCACTCACCATAGCACATACCCTCCCCAGTGTCCATAACCCAGCCACCCTGTCCCTCACCCCCTCACCCCCTAGCAACCCTCAGTTTGTTTCCTGAGATTAAGAGTCTGTTATGGTTTATCTCCCTCTCCAGTCCCATCTTGTTTCATTTTTTCCCTCCCTACCCACCACAACCCCCCTACCCTGCCTCTCAGATTCCTCATATCAGAGAGATCATATGATAATTGTCTTTCTTTGATTGACTTATTTCGCTTAGCATAATACCCTCTAATTCCATCCACGTCGTTGCAAATGGCAGGGATTCGGGTTTTTTTTTTTTTAATGACTGTATAGGATTCCATTGTATATGTATTTATACATATACATATACATATACCACTTCTTCTTTATCCATTCATTTGTTGATGGACATCTAGTTTATTTCCATAGTTTGGCTATTGTGGACATTGCTGCTATAAACATTCGGGTGCACATGCCCCTTCAGATCTGTGCATTTGTATCTTCAGGGTAAATACCCAGTCGTGCAATTGCAGAGTTGTAGGGTAGCTCTATTTTCAACTTATTGAGGAACCTCCATAGTGTTCTCCATATTGGCTGCACCAGTTTGCATTCCCACCAGCAGTGTAGGAGGGTTCCCCTTTCTCCGCTTCCTTGCCAACATCTGTTGTTTCCTGACTTGTTAATTTTAGCCATTCTGACTGGTGTGAGGTGGTATCTCACTGTGGTTTTGATTCTACCTGTCATTTCTACCCTGGTACTTTCCGGGGCCCGCCCTTTTAGCTACCCCATTGCTCTTACCTTTCTTTAGCAGTTCACTCTTGAGGTGAGGGTTTGCCCAGGGTGAAGTCTAACCCATACTATTCTGCACACCCCTGTCTTCTGTATTGCTCTTGTAGGACTGTGATAGTTTGGGCTCAGGTGTTCATACTTCCAACTTCCATGTCACTTCGGAGTTTGCTCTTCTGTTTTCTTAGTTTTAATCTAAACTTGGGTTATGGGTGTTTTTATCAGATTTCCTTTTTTGATCTGTATAGTTTTTAGGAGATGTAAATGGGATGTGATCCATGAACCTATTACTTAGGGAGAAATGCAGAAGTTTTTTTCTTCATTTTCAGTTTTCTGAATAGTTGCATTCCTAATTCAGAATTTTAATATAGAATATAGCACTTATAGGAAGAGAAGAATTTAATTCAGTAAGTGTTTTCATTGTCTAAACTGGTAGTAACCCCAATATTTTAAGTTCTAATTTTAAATTCTAGAGAGAACCAAATAAATAAATAAATAATGTAGACAGACTGGTCAGGGTGCCCTTCTATCTGCCTTTTCAGGTGTGGGTGGTTCAGTTAGGCTTCAGAGCACTCCTACAGTGCTCTGATAAGAAGACTTGATTACTGCCTATTTGCAGGGGAACTGTTCTGCCCTGACAGAGAGCTCTGGGCCATAGGAGACTTTCTTCTTGTCAGCCACCCAATAGGAATGATCTAGACTGTGGAATGATTTTAATTCTTCCTGAAAGTTGCACCTGCAAGTTCCATGTCTAATTTCCTGTTGTTATGATGTAGTTCTTTATTGTGTTCTCCAGGTGAGTGGGAGGTTTGCAGGACCTGAGGAGGGTGTTAGAATATCAGGGTAGAGAAGTGGGAGGACATTGAAGGAGAACCAAGAAGTCTATTAAGTTGCTAACCCTGTCAGAAGTATTGGCATTATACTAATAAAAATGCCCACATTTTAATAATAGAAATTGTATACTGAAATACAATGATATCAAAAACTAGAATTATAATTACACATGTAGGAATTGTGACGTTCTCTGCCAAGATTCTGGAAAGAGCTTTTCAAATAAATGTTAAAATGTATTCTTTTCGGGGCGCCTGGGTGGCTCAGTGGGTTAAGCCTCTGCCTTCAGCTCAGGTCATGATCCCAGGGTCCTGGAATCGAGCCCCGCATCGGGCTCTCTGCTCCGCAGGGAGCCTGCCTCCACCTCTCTCTCTGCCTGCCTCTCTGCCTACTTGTGATCTCTGTCTGTCAAATAAATAAAACAAATCTTTAAAAAAAAAAAAAACCTTTATTTAAAAAAATGTATTCTTGAAATTTTTTGAGCTGAGAATTAGTGCATATTGTTAAATTTATGGATACCTCATTATTCATACAGCTGTTATAATGATGCTTGTTATATAGTCACTCTAAAAACAAAATGCAGTTCATTATAACAACATGACTTTTATCACGTAGATTTTAGGAATGTCAGGGACTAAATCATTGCATATAGCAGAAATACCAGAATTATCCCCATCCCTACTTCCACAGCCCACAAGATCAAAAGTGTTCTGGTTTATATAAAAAAATTGTGCCTTTGTATTACTACTACTACACGTGTGTCTGTGTGTATGTGTATGTGTTTTTATTTTGTCCTTAATTGGTATCACCTCCCTCCCCCCAATCTCATATTTTCAATTTACAGGATTTGAGTTTTGGGTTTTGTCTTTTATTCCTGATTATATTGTATGAGTATACCATAGTTTACATAATTATTTCCTGTTATAGGACACTTCAGTTTACCAGTTATTACTGTTCTAGATAATGTAGCCATGAGCTATGCCTTTAAGTGTTTCCGTAAGATAAATTTGCATCAGTAATTTGTAGATCCTTGATCACCAGGAATGAATGTTTAGGTTTTCTGATACTAATTTCTAGGTTATCTCCATAATACAGTTTTAATAAGTCATAAACTTACATTAGTACTAGTTATAAATGAATGCCAAACTAAAATCAGTATTCTGTCTTTCCTCATTAGGGAGTTCTGGGAAATTGTTCATTCATTTACAGATGAGCAGAAAAGACTTTTCTTGCAGTTTACAACAGGTACAGACAGAGCACCTGTGGGTGGACTAGGAAAATTAAAGATGATTATAGCCAAAAATGGCCCAGACACAGAAAGGTAATTATTAAATTGTGACTGTATACCGACAACCTTATATTCCATGTCACACGCATGGGAACTGTCTGGGAGCTTCTGAGCACTTTTAAAAGTTTTATGTGGAACTCTCCAAATCACTTGAACTGGTAATTCAGAGAATGTTTTGCTGCTTTTGTTTGAAGAAATTTTTAAAACACTGGCCTAGTTCAAAGCTATTAAAGGGATCACTGGATTTTGAATTTTGCAAAGTGATATGATTCATTAAGTTTTTCAGAACTTTTTAAATTGAAAGGTATTATGTAATCTATTTAAGAATGGTTAAATTGAGTCTCAGAATTGTTCAGCACTAGATTTCTTAATCTTAACATTTGAATCAAGTTTCATAATCTTGTTCTTTCTTCATTGTATAAGTCAATGTTTTTGTGAGTAAGGATCTTACATGAACAGTAGCATATTTAAGGGTTTAAATATATAGAAACATTTCTATTAGTATTCCACATTATTTGATGCATAATGGCTTTAATGTAACTTTACGTATATTTGTTATTAAGTCACTTATATGCTCATATTGCCAAGAATATTTCTAACTGGCATTAAAGAACATAGATTTTGAAATCTTAAAAGCCAGGTTTGAGTATTATCTTCATCCTAGAGTAAATTAACTTCTCAATGATGTTAGCTTTGTAGTGGGATAATGATAGTTTTATTTTGAGAAGATAAAGTTAAATGAGATCTAACAGTTAAACAGTATGTGGTATGTCATAATGACTCAGTGGATGCAATATGTTATCAATCATCATCATCATCATTAGGATTGAATAATAAGATAAAAACAAACTGATATTTGGTAGTTGCATAGGAAAAACAAAAAGTTTATGAATTGCATTAATGTGTACCCTGCATTGCAAACCATCTCAACTATACATACCATCTAAAAGTAGGGGTTTTTTTAGTGCTGAGCATATTCTCCATGATTTATTTTCCTATTTTCCCCTATTCTCTCTGTTTAGGTTACCTACATCTCATACTTGCTTTAATGTCCTTTTACTGCCGGAATATTCAAGCAAGGAAAAACTTAAAGAAAGATTGCTGAAGGCCATCACTTATGCCAAAGGATTTGGCATGCTGTAAAAAAATAAATAAAAAAAAAAATAAGAAGAAGAAGAACGGAAAAAAAGGAAAAGAAAAATTTTAAATTTTAATAATCATAACAAGAGGGATGAATTTGGTGGTGATAATGTCCCAGTACAAAAAGGCTGTAAGATAGTGAACCACAGTAGTCACCTTATGTCTGTGCCTCCCTTCTTTATTGGGGATATGTGGGCTGGAACAGCAGATTTCAGCTACTTATATGAACAAATCCTTTATTATTATTATTATTATTTTTTTTTGCGTGAAAGTGTTACTTATTCTTTCACTTGTATGTACAGAGAGGTTTTTCTGAATATTTATTTTAAGGGTTAAATCACTTTTGCTTGTGTTTATTACTGCTTGAGGTTGAGCCTTTTTGAGTATTTAAAAAATATATACCAACAAAACTACTCTCCCAAGGAAAATATTGCCACCATTTGTAGACTGTGTAACCTTCAACTATGTGCTATTTTCGTCCCTGTATCTAACTCAAATCAGGAACTGTGTTTTTTTTTTTTTTTTAAACAATTTGCTTTGAAACTTGAAGTCTTGAAAACAGTGTGATGCGATTGCTGCTGTTCTAGTCCCCAAAGAGTTTTCTGTGCAAAATCTTGAAATCAATAAAGATGGAAGGGAGAACTTGAAATGTTTTAACTGCAGCCCTCAGAACTTTACTTTAGTAACAGCACAACAAATTAAAAACAACTCATGCCACAGTATGTCGTCTTCATGTGTCTTGCAATGAACTGTTTCAGTAGCCAATCCTCTTTCTTAGTATATGAAAGGACAGGGATTATCTTGTTGTTGTTGTTGTTGTTGTTGTTTTAAGTTTACTGGGGAAAAGTGCATTTGGCCAAAAGAAATGGTAGTCAAACCTGTTGCAAGAAAGCTAGGAAGTTTGTTGTTTATTATAAACGCAAAGCATGTGAAAGTGCACTTAAATTTTTTATTAATTATTACCTGCATTTTAAATAGACAATCCAAAGTCTTCCCTTCATGTTGCCATCATCTTGTCTAATCAGCCATTTTATCAAGGCACGTGATCAGTGTTGCAACATAATAGAAAGGATGGCTATTGTGCCTTGTTTTACTTAATCATATGTTAAGCAGACCTGGAATGAATGGAACTATTACTCTTAAGTCCTATTTACATTGTATATCCCCAAAGATTAAGTTATACTTCAAAAAGTAAGTGTTAAATATTACTTCCATGTGGAAAAGTACAAATAGGTTTAAATTACTGGACGTTCAGAAGTAAGTAGTTTCCCCTTTCTAGTCTTCTGTGTCTGTTATGTTAATTTCTTTTATTACAATATAAATAAAAGGATTATGTATTTTTAACTAAGGAGAGATATGGATATATCCTTTTACTACAAGCTGTATACAGCTAATGTGCTGAGCTTGTGCTTTGATGATTGTTTTAACAGACAGATTAGATCAACCTGATGATTTGTTTGAAATTGGCAGGAAAAATACAGCTTTTCAAATCATGGGAGGGGAGAAAGGATATCTTTCAGGATTATTTTAATGATTTTAGTAATTGAGAGAGATCTGTTGTGTACCATAATGCTAAATAAAACAGTGACATTTTTCATCATAATTTAGAGGAAAAAGAAAACAGTGCTTTCATCTTGTGATAAGGTAACTTTTTTTGTTGTTGTTTTCTGGGCCAGCCTTTAGAACACTGTTAAGGTATGTACACTACCTTGATGCAAGGGACTCTCATGATACTATAGTCATCTTAAAGGCGTCTCATCCATGTGCTTGTGTATAATGAAAGAAGGAGAGAAATCAAATACTCTGGGGGCATTTTATATAATAAATTCATGAAGAAATGTGTGTTCTTCAGTTCTCAAGTTCTATTATCACAGTATTGAAGTTCTATAATTGTATTAACATCTGTATGAAGTTTGTGAATGGTAATTGAGTATAGGTTATCAGATACAGAATTCACATCAAATAGACTTTTAACAAACAGTTCAAAATAAACCTACCCTTAAAAATATTTTAAGAGAAAAAGTCATTGGTTGTCCATACTAGCTGCTCTCACTTGCTTAGTAATTATCCTGGGCATGTTACCACTTTTCTTACCATTGCCTCCTGTTCACTACTGTTTAGTAGAATGCCATTGAGCAGTATCTCAAGGAAGAGGAAAACAGAAATTTTGACTATAATGACTAATTCTTTTAGCCAAATTTCTTATGAAAGTACTTTTTTGCCTGAACACTTACATATTTTGGTTATCTGTGAATCAGCCAACAGTCTGCAGGAAGCTGTGGGGATAAAATGAACCGTAAACTAAAATAATTAGCTTTCCAAATGAAGTAGAAACTTTATCTTCCAGTTTTATTATTTTAGAAAATTTCAAACATGAAACAAAAATACAACCTGCTATCAAACTTTTCTGGAGCCTGGCAGCTTCAGTAAATGAGTTGGATTTCCTCACCCTATACTACTGTTTCAAGTTGTGGTTAATTGTGTGATAAAATACAACAACTTCCCTAGCTTTATTTTGGGATGCATACCTGTGTAGGGAGAGAAATATCCAAAAAACAAACAAAACCTTAAAAATGAAGCTTCAAACTGAACTTGCTGATACTCCTTCCTTGTGACTTAGTAACACCACTCCCTGTTCCCCTAAGAACACAATGGCTGGGATTTCAGGCCCCATTTTGTTTTTTTTTTTTCCTCAAGAATTTCATAACGGTCTCTCAAGAAGAATTGTTTCCCTAAGGCTACTTTATTTGTAGTCTTGATCTCCTTACCTTCTCTCTCATATGTATACATATAATTTTTTTTTTTTAACCAAAGAATTAAAGAACAAACTTCTGTTTGCTCCCTCTTGTCTTCTCTGTGTTACTAGTCTATCAAGAATTTCCTGGGGAAGACTGTTAACAACTTGAAAATCCCAAGGCTTTTCCCCCTTCCCTGTTCAAATCCAGTAGGTTGGCATTTGTTAAACACTGCAAGATTTTGATGAAAATGTCTCACTGAGAAATGCTGCTAATCCATTTCTGTGCCACTGAAAATGCTTTCCTGAACAAAACAACCTCTTCAACTGCCAGTATGAACTGTTTAACCTTGCCAACACCTTGAAATTAATTTCGTGCTACTCTGGTCCTTTTCAGTTGGATGTTTATCATCCAGATCTTGGATGGGTAGTATAATTCTACTTAAAGTTCTTGTCCAGTTCTCTTTTAGTCAATCTCAACTACTGAAGATTCTTGTCTAAATTTATATTGTTTTTCTCAGACTCTATCCCCAGGATAATTTTTCTGGTACCTCAAAGTTAATACCAGAACTTCATCTTGCATCTCTACCTACTGTTAATTTGTTTCTTCCTTAAAAGGATCACTTTCAACCCAGTCATTGAAATCCATCATCTCTCAGCTGTCACAGCTTTTATCAATTCCTTTCCCCTCCAGTCTCCCCAGTTCATCATACTTCCTTTCAGGTTCTGGTCCATTGAATCACCTGGTTGCTTTCAGTAGCTTCCCAAATAACCACCCTGACTGTAACCTCCTCTTCCAATCTTTTCATTTTGCTAAAACAATTTTGCTGATTTAAATATCCTCTGCTTCAAAATTTGCTCCTGTTTGAATACTCTTCAAGCTTGGCATCCAAGGCCCTCCATAAACTGGGTCCCACGTGCTTTTCCAATTTTGCCATCTGTTACAGGCACTTTACCTGAAGCACAACATCTTCATTTGTGCTTATTTCATATTTCTCAAGTGCCCTTCAAAATGAAAATTTAAAAACACTTTACCCATAAAGTCACCACCAAAATGGACTTCCAAGTGCTTGTGTGACCTCACAGCAACCCATACTTAACATGGTAGTTCAGGTCGTTGGGGCACATTCCTTATTTAAACAACGAGGAGTACCTGAGATTTTCTCCTCCCAGCCCCATAACCATTACCCAGGATGCGAGCAGATTCATGGCAGAGAGAGTGTTTTGTTTTGTTTTTAATCCTTCTACCAGCTTGTCACCACTTGAATGATTGAAAACGGCTCAGCATGCAATAGGATGTTCAATGAAGCTTCCTGTTTTTATCACTAAAGATGACCTCTTCTTGTCTCCCCACACTTCTCCCCACCAAAAGTTTTGTTTTTTTTTTTTTTTTAATTAAATATTTAAATGTTTGTGGCTAAAGGACTTGCTTCTTGAGGAAGTGGCTCCCCTGGATCAGTGACTGTTCCAATCCATGGAAAGACAGTAAGAGGGAAAGAATGAAAAGGACAAATGTCTTTGAGAGCAAGATTGTGTGACTTCCCCAGCCCTACCCTTTGGATGTGCTCTCACAACCAGGAGCCTCTGTGCAGACATGTCTGTGACCACACTCCTCTCCCATAGGGGCAGGCATCTTACACAACCCCACTGTTGCCAGACCTTCATGTCTATCAAGGAACAATCCTCTGCCAAACACTGCTTTTTATACTAAATGAAGCACCACAATGAATGAATGCATCATAAGCCTTACTACGAATCAACCCTCAAATCAGGATTCTTAGGTTCATTTGAACAGAACCTGGAGTAATTATCCTAGCTATCTTCTGGTCTTTAGAAAACCATAGAAAATACGATAAGCATGTGTCTGGTAAATGGTACACAGGTGTCAAGGGTGCCACCTTCAGTGTCAGATGACTAGGTCTCAGTCTGGGCCCTGCCCTTGCCTCAGCTTGGATTATCATATTCAAGCCCACCTCATTGCTGATTATTAGGATTCAATGAATTCGAGATATAGATGCTAGAAAACCCGGTGCAAGACAGAAACTGCGATAGGTTCTCTCAATATTTGCCAATTAAAAGGAGTCCATTGAGAGGTTGGAGATACGATTGCTTTTGCAGGATTGACCCTCCCTCATCTACCTCAAAGTAGGGAGGGGTACATCTCTCGTTTTTGTGTAAGATAAAATCCGTGTAACAAAATTCACTCTTCTTTGCAGTGTACAGTTAATAGCTTTTAGAATATTTACAAAATTGTGCAATCATTACCATTAAATACAGAGCATTTTTATCACTGTTAAAAAAAAAATCCTGTACCTATTAGGAATGACTGTTTATTCTCCCCTCAATAATACCCCCAAAGTTCCCCTACACATACACACCAAAGTCCTTGGTAATCACTAATCTTTTCTGTCTATAGAGTCCCTTGTTTGGGACATTTCGTATCAATAGAATCATGCAATATGTGGCCTTTTGTATCTGACTTTTCACTTAGAACAATGTTTTCAAGGTGCATCTATGTTGTAGCATGTATCAGTACTTCAGTTCTTTTTACGGCTGAATAATATTTCATTGTATTGATATACCATATTTTTGTTCACTTGTTTGATGGATGTTTGCATTACTTCTGTTGGCTATTATAAATTACTATTGCTGTGAACATTTGTGTACAGGTTTCTATGTGGCTATAAGTTTTTATTTCTCTTGGTTATGTACATAGGAGTGAAATTGCTGGGTCATATGCCTACTCCGTTCAAGGAACTATCAAACTTTCCCAAAGTGGCTGTACTATTTGATATTTCCATCAACAGTGTGAGAGTTCCAATTTCTCTGCATCCTGGCCAACATTTATTACTGACATTTTTATTCTAGCCATCCTTTTGGGAGTGAAGTATTTCATGGTTTTGATTTGCGTTTCCCTAATGACTAATAAGGTTGAGCATCTTTTCATATGTTTTTGGCCATTTGTTCATCTTTAGAGAAATGTCTATT